GAGTGGTAAGTGTAACAACTAGTATTTAAAGGATTTATGTAGGTTTTTATGGTATGACAATCTGCTAAAGTAAAACTCAAGATAACTTGTTATAACACTTGATATAGAATGACCTTTGGCATGCATTTTGTTTTGAAACTGTACAAAGAAAATGCTAATTTGTATTAAATTTTAAGTACTTATTAGTTGAAAACAACTTTCAAAAAACTAAATAGCTTAGAAATTTAGCCTGCCTAGCGATGTTTTCACATGTATGTTTACTGATGCCAAGAGTCTAGTTATGGGAAGAAAATTTGGATAGAAGTAACTTCATTTTGATTGCGAAGGGAATTGTCTTTTATGTGACATTAAATATAAGATTAATAAAGAGGGGGCTTCATTTGTGACTTGGTATTTGTGATTAAGTATTTATCAGTTTTTCTTTGCTTTAGAATGAGCTCTTCTTTTTCAAAGAACTTGCACGTTTTCTCCACACGCACCCCCCAGCCACCCACTCCTCTCCAAGCAATTTCTCTTATCCCTCAAGAAAAAACTTTAACCATCAGCGCCCAGCAAAAACGAAAAACTTCCAGAGAATTTTTAGAAAGAACTAGGCTCCTCTTTCCCAAAATTTAGCCAGTCTCGTAATTTTGTTACATTCCTTATCAGTAATTTAAACTGAGAGCTAAGAATTTGGGTTGTTTTGTGGTTTTACAAACTCCAGATACTTGTGTATATTTTCTGTTTAGAAGTAAAGATATTACTTGAAACTATCAAACATGGTCACCTGAAACTTGATACTAACAGTTCGCCCTGTCAGAGGGAACTGTGGGGCTTGTATAAGAGCACTTTATACACAGTGGTTTTGCCATTTAAAAGACTCCGTATCAATACGTTATTTTGACCATTGGGCAGTGTATTGATGGCTAGAGAAATTTTGGTAATTCATAACCCAAGAATTGCACAATCTTGGATTAAAATTTTTAGGTGGTTAAAATTTGTTTAATTACTTAGAAAAAATTATTTTAAGTTACCTATACTTTCTCTTCAGTCGTCCCTAAATGAAGACGTCTTCTGAAATCTTGTCTTAGGTCAATGCTATAACGTTAAACTAGAGCTTTAAAGTTTACCACTGGTTATGTCAAAGTGAACTGTTGACTTCACATGACTAAAATAATTTAAGGTTCATATTAGGTAAAGACAGGTCTTGTTTCCTAACCTCGTGGCTACAAGCAGCCTTAGTTTCATTTTTTGGTATATGAAAACAAAATGATTTGGAGATACTGTATTGTATAAACCAGCTAAATGCTTTTTAAAAGTAATGCTTCTGCTTTGAAGTCCTACTTCTGGAGCTGTATAATGAGTTAAAATTCTTTATTGGTGATAACTTACAATACATTGAACACCTAAAATGATGTGGTTCTTTGTAGGCATCTCTTTTGCTAATGTAGAACCATTTTGGCTTCTTGGTAATTGATTGTTTTACCAGAGCTGTGTATCCTCTCTTATAGAGGATGATTTTTAAGTTTGTATCAGTGTTAAAGTTTTGACAAGGTATATAAATATTTTTGTTTGAGGGATGTGTGCATATATATATATATGTATATGCATATAATGTATAGGGCATAATAGTTTAAAATGTTAGCTTTACTTTTGATTAATTGTTTTGAGTTTTATCGCCCTATAATTGAAATGCTTGTTTAAATCGATTCTGTGCGTGTGTTGGATTAGTGAGCTGGTTTAATATGGAATGAAACTGGTTTTCAGCATCATCTCGATTTTTAGATAGCATCCCTTTTCTTAAATAACTCCCTGATTTTTTCTAAGTATGTATGAAAGATCCAATGACAAGGGTTGATTTTTTTTAAATTTTTATTGTTTTATGGGTTTTTGTGGTTAAGGTTGGCATCTTAGCACATCATTTGGGTAAAAAGATGCTCAAACTGTGACATCTATCCCATACCTCCTTGATACTATAACTAGTTGTAGCTAGCAGTTGAGGCAGTTTGGTACTGTGGAGAGGACTGGCCTGGGAGATGGTGCCTGGCAGCGGCTCCAGTCAGGCTGCTCTGAAATCAGTAGGACCTGCCCTTCCCTGCCAGTGCCAACTTCAGCACAGTGATCTCCCTACACGCTAGTTTCCTCAGCTCTGAAATGGGCCAGTGGCACTTAACCATAGTGTTCTCTTGAAGAGAATGCATGTAAATTCTCAGTAGCCTTCTTTTCCGCCTTCTCCCCCCCTTCCTCTTCTTCGTTCATACTCATCCTTATTGTCTCAGCATAAATGCTGCCACTTCTTCAGAGAGGCTTTCCTCAAGCCCCCAGTCTATGTAAGGTTCCTTGGCCATCCATTTTTACAGGACTCTTCTTTTTTTCATAGTCCTTATTGCAAATAACTGTATAATTATATGCA